CCCCCCCCGCCTCCCACACCCACTTGACCAAAATTCTCACAGTTCGGTGTTTTTCAGGTTTGGTTTAGTTTCTTTGCTAAAATACTACCAACAACTTGTTTTTAGATCTTGTTTTGTACAATGTTGAAAAATTAATAAATTATTGATTGCATTTGGTATTATCTGTCGTATTCGTTTCATTACTGGACCTTGAATGTTTTGTGTAATTTAGTTGTATGAAGCAAAGCACTTCCTAAAAACATGTGCGGTTATTGGGAGCATGATTTCGAGACGAATGGTGAAAGTTTGAGTTGAAGTCGACTTGTCCCCTGATGAGATTTTTGTATATTTATTTTCAGTACAGTACTCAATCAAAAAAATAATCACAGCAGGAGGGAATGCTTTGCAATCTTATTTTCCCCATCAATGAACAGCTCATACAATATATGGGTACATAATGTTTGAACTTCCAACGTCAATGTGGGTGACGTGAAAGCTTGGGATGTGTGATAGTATTTTAAGTGAGAGGTAAAGTTACTTGACGCACATAATTTTTAAAACCTTTTAGGAATTTCTGTCCGCGACCGACCCCACAGATCGAGAGAAAGTGAGGCATATAACAGTTTTGGTCGTATTTTGTGCGTAGTGTGTTCCGGTTTGGTCCCACCATCGATCTCAAAACAGTCCTCCGATGTAAAAAAACCTCCCATGATCTGAGCTCATAAATTTGAAGACGAGCAGACACATCCAGGTATGCGCTGATGGTTGGCAAGTGTTTCCAGACAGGATGGCTGGCTCCCGCCGTGTTGTATGATGGCAACATCAGCAAACTGGACTTGCTTTGGGAAATACTTCCTGCCGTCTTGGGACCCCACTTTTTCCACGGAAACAAACGATTTGAGACTAGTCTGCTTTTCCCTCACACGAGGTTCGTACATACTGAATGGAATTGTTGTCTTAACCAATTTCAGTCCCTGTTATGGGGACAAATGAATTCTGAATACACCTCACCTTACAAGACAGAAGCTTAAGAGACAGTCGAGACAAAAACTTCATGTGTGTGTGTACCTGAACTAATAACATTGTCAGCCCTGACTTATTTTGGGACAAGTCCATCCATAGCAGACATGCATAGCAGGCCCCACGGCAAAGGATACCCTAATACAATAATTTTATTCAATTTAATCAGGCATTTGACATCCTTGGGTGGGAAGGGACAAAATCAGGAAAAACAGCCCCACTGTCTTTGTGTGTCTCCTTGGCCTTGGAAAAATTCGGGACAAATGGGGAAACCGGTCCTTGGCTTGTTCAAACAGAGAGCAAGGCGTATTATGCAATGCAAGCATTTATTCACCACCGCAGGCAACGACCTTTCTGGTCCGCTCGGGAACACACATTCTGTGGCTGGTGAACTCAACATGGTTGCACCATATAATGGGCTGAAAGTTTGTTCCAAAACCTGTTTAAGCCTGTTTGGGTTTATCCTTTACTGGTTGTCCCTCATGGAGCAAACCTCTCATCAAAAATAGACAATTTAAATCAATCAAGATGACAGACTAATTGTATTCAGCCCACGCATCTGTTGCTGTAAGCAGCGATGTCTCCTCCTCAATTAATGTATAAATATAAAATAAAAATATAAATATAAAAAAATAAAAACTCTTAATTGCCCCACGGGATAAATAAAGTTTTCTGAATCTAAATCTGAAATTAAACTGGGAACTAGTCAACGAGGCTGTGCTACCACCATTATTACCTCTACATGGTCACTGGGACATGAGATCAGCCCAGTAGACTACTTCATTCATGATGAAAACATTAAAATGAAAAAAAAAAACAGTCGAAATGACATGCACTTGTCTCCACCAAAACCAAAGTTGTCATCCAAAATGGACCAAGAGAACATGTAGTGTGACTGGTGCTTCTGTTTGCTCCTAAGAAGAACTGAAGGTGAAAACATTAGTTAAATCCATCCATCCATCCATTTTGTAATCCGCTTATCTTCACGAGGGTCGCGGCCGTGCTGGAGCCGATCCCAGCAGTCTTCAGGCAGTCGTCGGGGGTCACCCTGAACTGGTTGCCAGCCATTCGCAGGGCATACATCGACAAACAACAATTCACACTTACAATCACACCTAGAGACAATTTAGAGTGTTCCATCATCCTGCCATGCATGGTTTTGGAATGTGGGAGGAAACCGGAGTACCTGGAGAAAACCCACGCAGGCATGGGGAGAACATGCAAACTCCACACAGGAAGGCCGGAGCCGGAATCGAATCCTGTACCTCTGCACCTAACTGTGCCACACTACTGCAATTAAATATCAGGCAGAAAATGTTCTGGAGGGAAAATATGCTGTGCTTGTAAAGGAATGTGTGTATGACTGATGATCCAGTGAGATGCATGATAATGGCAGTCCTTTTCTGAGTCGTAGTACAAAAAAAAAAAAAAAATCGGAGCCTCAATAAGCAGCATTGTCATCATGAATGATGTATTTTGTGATTTGTGGTTGATCTACATTTCAACATGAAAACTTACATCATAAAAATAAAACATGCTTTCAAAGCCCAATCATCACTTGTATAGAAACAAAGTATCTTATCTGTGTTCCTGTTAAAGGGTGGTTTCATTTTCAGTTAGCGCTGCTGTGATGTGGCACTAAATAACTTCACATGAAGGCGCATGTGTAGCAACAGAAGCTGCAAATGTGATTGACACTCATGGTTTTCTCAAAATGACCATGAAACGTGAAGATGGTGCCAACAACGAGTGGCTGCCTCAATGATGCGTGGATTCCCAGATTCGTGACAAGCAGCACACGCAACAGGTCAGGCTGGGGAGGACAACATCATCAACACACGCCGTCAGCACTGGCGCCCCCCAAGGATGCGTCCTGTATCCGCTGCTTTTCTCCTTCTACTTGGACAGCTATATATGAATATGCATGTGTGTGTGTGTGTGTGTGTGTGTGTGTGTGTGTGTGTGTGTGTGTGTGTATAT